TGATAAAACAGTTGAGAAAAGGTTACGTGGAATGAATTATCACTTGTACATCTAGATCCTCGAATAAGATAATATGAACTTGAAGTTCATAAAAGGATAATTCAGTTGCAATATATTGCAAAGCATGCCAGACGCATTTGCTGACCCAAAGAAAGTAACTATATTCTCATTGCAAATGCTCCTATTAAGTCCTAGAAGGACAAAGTCTATGGTACGCTTGAAGCGTATAGACAAGTCGGTTTCAAATAAACTTCTTGATAAAGAAGATGAGCAAATGATCTAAATGATCATAATAAAGGAGGCAAGTGATCTAGAAGATCACATGACATAACACTTCATAAAATCTCATGAGAGATTCAGGTACCTGAATATATGAATGAAGAGATCTCTATGTTATGTCTTTATGAAAAATAAGGAGGTTGGAACCGATATAAAATGTTTGTCGACGACATCTATAATAGCGCTAAATATATATGAGGATCTTAAGTCTAGAGAAACAATTCAAATAGAATTGATTTCATATGAAAGACATGTGGTTTTGGACATGTAGTTCAAACACTTGAAAGTATAAAGTCAATGGTATGTGCAATCAGTTTTCGATATCTTATATGTCTAGTATGACATGAAAACTTGATATGTATCTAAAGTCTATTTATTTGGCTTATATGACTTAACAGTCCCTGAAGGATTTAAATTGCTTAAAGCATATAGAATTAATTGTCATGAAGTACTACATCCTCAGTGCAATTTGTGCAAAAATGTATCTTGCTATAACTATATGCATGATAATATGATAGCAAGAGTTTTCACCTCTATGTGAAGATATTGAACTGACGATTCCAACAAGATCATATGAAGACAATTCACCTCTATCAAGAATGATGATTTCAAGGTGCAATATATACATTCAAGTTAATATGGCTGATTTGTTTATCAAATCTCTACCAAAGATCTTTTGAAGATGGTGCACAAGATTGGAATGCAAATGCTTAAGGATGTGAATTGATGCTCTCATCAGGGGGAGTTAATACGCGTTGTACTCTTTTTCCCTTACAAGGTTTTGTCCCACCGAATTTTCCTTGCAAGGTTTTTAACGAGACAACCAAAAGGCGTATCATTAGATATGTGTACTCTTTTTTCCTTTTCTAGATTTTTTTCCCATTGGGTTTTATTTTAGTTAAGGTTTTAACGAGGCACATTATCTGTTGAATAGACATTCAAGGGGGAGTGTTATAAATAGAATTTTATTTATGGTGAATGTCTATATTTAGAGAGATACTAGGGTTCATTGCTTGGTGGCTAAGTCACCCTCTCCCTATAAATAGAGGGTTTTATTCTATTGTAATTCATGCCAAATCAATAAGAATTCCCTCTCTTTCTCTACTTTTCTCTGCAATACTCTTCTTCTTCTTTTATTGTTTCATAACAAAGATAGTTTATTGAACAAATAATTAAAAATCACTTTGAGCTAGAAAACCTGTACAAGTACGAAAACATTCTGGTCAAAATATTTGATGGTTACCAAGCTAGCATTTGGCCATAGATTTTCAATTGTTTTGAAAAATCTGATTTGGATGAAGTTTGGTTTGAAGATGAATATGTGTTTGGACATAAGTTTTCAAAACATATTTCACTTTTTTTGTTGTTGCAAAAACATAAAACATGACTTGTACCCACAAGTTCTAAAAACTGTCACAAATACCTAACAATACCTTTATCAATAACATTCATTATATTATTGCAAACCATAGTCCTGAACATAAATAAATTTGGTATATCATTTTTATAATAAACTAGTACATAATACACTATCAGATGACCGAGAAGACGAAGCAGCATTGTTACAAAATAATAAATGGTGGGCTCTTTTATAAAATATAAAAGTTTGGTGCAATTTTTAAAAATGTAATGGTGATATTTTGGGCCAAAACTAACTCTTGAACTGGTTTTGGGATTTGAGTTTTTGTTTTGGGAATTTGCCAAAATGTAGATAAAGGCTCCGTTTGGCCATGAGTTTTGTCAAAATAAATTTGGGATTTATTTTCAAAACTCATGTTTGGCCATAAATTTTGCCCATATTTTGGCCAAATCCCAAATTCCAATTTCAAATCCCAAAATCAGCCATTGAGCTGATTTTGGGCCAAAATCCCAAAATTTGGGAATTATATACATGTTTTTCCAAAATAAAGTTGGAAAATATGTTTTGAAAACGTATGTCTAAACACATTTTCATCTTCAAACCAAACTTCACCCAAATCAGATTTTCAAAACAAATTTGGGATCTATGGCCAAACGCTAGCAAAATCTATGGCCAAACATGTATTTGCTAAAAAAACCCCAAATATATTTTGATAAAATCTATGACCAAACGATCCCAAATTTATCACTTATGATTAATTATTACTACCATAAGAAACTTAAATAACTAGGAGTATTCATTTTGGGACACAAGAAGTAACTCATTTACACAATAATAAATTTCCTCTTCCAAGTGGAAAATTCTTTCTATGTTATGTTTGTTCTTAATTGCCATTCTCACCTACAATCGATGCACTCGTAGAAATAGACTAATTCAAAAATTATTTTCAACAATTTTTTTTTTAATAGTTTCAACCAAATTTATTTTCTAAATGGTAGCTAAATGTTTTTCTCTAGATAAATAAAGGTTATTTTGGACACATTGGGACATTGGATCCCCCCTTTTTTCCATGGTTGTCCAAAATTTCCAAAGTAATCCAAAAGAATTCAAAGTCATAAACAAACCGCGAAAAGGATAAGGACTAGTCAAAGTGTTAGACAAAAAGGCCCCCCGCGAATATTCCGCTGGCATAATTATTGTCTCAAATCGCACGCCCCCTCGTAAATCCCTTCTCAAGCTAAGGACATTATTGTCATTTCGATTAATCTCCCGAGTCATCCACCGTTCGATTCACCATGATGTTAGATCCACGGTTCAAAATTAAAGTTTGACTGCAGGTACGAAAAAATATGCAGACAGGAATGATTGGGCCTTTCGGTCATGACTTTGACCAGTTAGATTTTGAATTTTGATTTGAATTTTTAAAGAAGAGAGAGAAAAATAAGATAAATTTACCTTTTCTTGTCTATTTACAATTCCAATCCCAAATTAAAAAAAGGATGCCATTTAATAAAAGTTACTATTACATGTTTTTTATATTTACCTGAAAGTATTACTCCATATACGTATGATTCAAAACGTAATTTTTCAATTTGTAAAAATAAATTACTGCATGTTTTAATTGAAATTAAGGGTTTTTAGAAGGAAAAAAATATATATACAACAACAATAATAACGACCCAATACAATTCCGCTAGTGAAATCTAGGAAGGATAGCGTATACGCAGACATTATTAGTATCCCGAAGGATAGAGAGGTAAGGAAAAAAATATATATGAAAAAGTTAAATTAGAGAAAGGAATACAAATAGTAATTATTTATCATGTTTTTTGGAATTTCTTTTCTCTTTTGGACACAAAAGGAGAGGAGAGGAGAGAGAGAGAGAGAGGAGAAGGGGGCTTTTATTGTATTAGTCATATTTTCACATTTTGGCATATCAAAGTTCAATCATCTCTCTATCTTCTTCCTTTTCTCTCTCTTTCTCTCCACCATTGAAGAAAAATTTTCAGGTGTTTGAGGAAAGAGGAGGAGGAGTTAGTAAAAAAAAAAAAAAACTCTTAAAAATTTGTGGGTAAGCGGTGGTTTTTGGGGCTCTTGGGCGAAGCAGAGATGAATGTCATGCGTCGCCTTAAGAGCATTGCTTCTGGACGTTCCTCCGTTTCAGATCCTGTAATTTTCTATCTCTGCCTTTCTTTTTCTTAGTTTCTCTCAAACGGGTCAAAATAGAGCAAAACAAAGATATATGTTTTATATAATTGAAACTAGCTAGTCTAGGAATTAGGATTCGATTAAATGGTAATCATTTTGTTTTTTGTTTTCTTAGTGCGTCTAAATAGAGGGGAATCGAGTGAAGTGATTTGTATAGAAGGTTGGGAAATTAGAGAAACTAAATGAAAATTTTGGGAATTTACTTTTTTTTTGTTGTTAATTTTCATCTTTGTATTTGTCTAAATATGGTTTGTTTTGATTAGGAATTTGAGAAGGAAGATGTTTACTTTTTGAATTTAGAATTTAAATTCTGTTTTTTTTAGTTTTTTCTTTTGGGGTCGATGGTATTTGTGTTGAATGCTTCTTTATGATTCTTGAGGGGAAAAAAAGAAGCTTTGCAGTGATTTTATTCATCATATTAGCTCTAAATATGTGCGACTAATAATTAAGAAAAAGTTGAGGCTTAACGCTTGCAAGAAGGTAAATGCCATTTGGAGGATCATTTGCTAATTTGACTTTTATTTTGTTTTATGCTTTTTTTTTCTGGGCTGGGTAGGTGAGGGTTGGGAGAGTTGGAATCTTGCACCCCATAGGCCTGCTTACTTTGATAATATCTGACTGTTGTGTCCTAAATTTTGTTAAGATTAACTGAAATGAGATTTATAATGGAAACTTGATTTTTTTTTAAAAAAAGTAGATTTATCATTAATTCATCTAAAGAATGCGATATATTACTGATTTTAACAGGGTGGCGATTCGAGCATAAAGAGGGTGAAGGTTGAGCAAGAAGTAGATCAAAGGGTGGTTGGTGAAACTCAAATGGAAGAGAGATGTACAACTACAGTTCCAAAGGAGGATATGGCTTCCACTTCTAAGGGTACAACTACTGGAAGCACATCAACTATGGATACTAGACCTGAAAATTCGGAGTTTGATGAGCTTCCTAAAGAAATGCATGAAATGAAAATTAAAGACGAAAAAGCTGATAGTCATGAGGATAATTTAAAGGTATCTTCTACGTGTGTACTCTTTCCTGACTAATTTAGTACATAAAGTAGATGTCTTTAAAATTCTGAAAATGTTGCTGATCTATCTTGCATCCCATAGGATATGGAACCTGCTGTTGTTAGCGGTAATGGAACGGAGACTGGTCAGATAATTGTGACTACTGTAAGTGGTCGAAATGGACAACAGAAACAGGTGAACTAGTTGAATATAATTTAATTTCTTATTATCCCCAATATCCTCTTATAGGCTGTTATTTTAGCTCAATTAGAAGTTGACCTCATACTGTTTTCCCAGACATTGTCTTACATGGCGGAGCGTGTGGTTGGTACTGGTTCATTTGGAACTGTATTTCAGGTAAGTTTATATATGTCTATTGAAAAATGCTAGGTTGTTGTTGTCTGGATGACTTTATTGATTCACTCTTCACCCTTTTTATATATATGTCAGGCTAAGTGCTTGGAAACTGGTGAATCTGTTGCTATAAAGAAAGTCTTACAGGATAGAAGATACAAGAACAGAGAACTTCAGATTATGCGCACCCTTGATCATCCTAATGTTGTTAAACTAAGACACTGCTTCTATTCTACCACTGAGAAGAATGAAGTATACCTTAACCTTGTCCTTGAATATGTGTCTGAAACCGTTTACCGAGTTTCAAGGCACTACAGCAGAATGAACCAACACATGCCCATTATATATGTGCAGCTATACACATACCAGGTGAGCTTATTGCTGGATACTTCAATTTTCTTATCAAGGTTGTTTAATTTCAGATTCTTGAAACGCAGATGTATTGCTTGCGAATATTTTGATTTCAGAGATTAATTGAATTCTTTCTCTAAATTATAAATTTTGCAGATATGTCGGGCTCTGAATTACATGCACGGTGTTCTTGGTGTATGCCATCGTGATATTAAACCACAGAATCTTTTGGTGAGCACTCAATTTTCCCTCTGGACATGCTTGTTGCTTTTAGATATCATAGCTCTTCCATGCCAAAATGACTCAAAAAAGTTAATGTAACCCGTGTGTGTGGTTAAGTTGAGTTATATGTCGGATAGTCTGGTACTGCTTGCTTTTCTTCTCCCTTTGCTCCTTCTCCCGTATCTGTCCTGACTATTTGTGGCTTATTCAACTTCTGAAGGTTAATCCACACACACACCAGCTAAAGCTCTGTGATTTTGGGAGTGCAAAGATGTTGGTATGTGATGCTTCTTCTTAACCAAGTTTTCTTCTTCCCTTACAGTTATAAAAGTTCCTAATATTTACCTTTTTTGCTTTAGGTGCCTGGAGAGCCCAACATATCGTACATTTGTTCTCGTTATTATAGGGCCCCTGAATTGATCTTTGGGGCTACGGAGTACACAACTGCAATTGACATGTGGTCTGCTGGTTGTGTTATGGCTGAGCTGCTTCTGGGACAGGTTAGTTTATATTTGTAGCTTAAAGTTTCTGCTTCAGGTGTTCTCGTTTATGGAATTAGATACCTGTAATAGTTTTAAGATATTTTCTTCTGAGCAATCCAATTCCAAAAAGTAAATGATTAAGAAAACTAATGAATAAACAGAAATTTATGTTGGTGACCTTGAATACGTTAGTCTGACAGTTTACTGCTGTACTATTTGTAGCCTCTTTTCCCTGGAGAAAGTGGTGTTGATCAGCTGGTGGAAATCATCAAGGTGTGCAATCAAGGGACTCTAATTGCTAATACTAGGTGGTTTTAACCTCTGTCAATTTGGATGCCTTCTTTAACTAACAGTCTTTTTATACTTGGTGCATGTCAGATTTTGGGGACACCAACTAGAGAGGAGATTAGGTGCATGAATCCAAACTACACGGAGTTCAAGTTTCCCCAGATCAAAGCTCACCCGTGGCACAAGGTTAGTGAAACTTATTAGGTGGATATAACTGATTTTTTTCTCTTTCACCTCATTGTTTCCATGATGAAGTTTGTTGTTCACTCACCCTCACACGAAGCTAGCATGGATCAAATCTAATTAGATTGCAATCTGCAGATATTTCATAAAAGAATGCCTCCTGAAGCAGTAGATCTTGTATCAAGGCTTCTTCAATATTCTCCAACTCTACGTTGTACTGCTGTAAGTTATGAATTTTCCTTTTAGTTTTCAAGAAATTAGGTTACAATGGCATTCTCCCTTTCCACCACCCTTCAAACTTGGTGGTTTATTTGTGTTCTGTTTGAATATATATGAGTCCTCAATTTTATGTGGTTTTATGGCGCATCATTCAGTGCTATGAAACAATTTGGTTTGCTTGCACTTCTTTAATGTGATCTTTCGTGCATGCTTATAAACTTACAAATAGTAAAAGACAGAATTTTTGTTGAAAGTAGTTTTCAGTTATGTTCCTAATGTTGTATTACTGGCTTTAAGTGGTTTAATCCTTTAAACGTGCTTGATGTCTGTTTTCTGGGGGAATTTGAGCATATTTTGTGTTCATTGACAGTTGGAGGCATGTGCACACCCTTTCTTTGATGCTTTAAGGGAAGCAAATGCTTGCTTGCCAAATGGGCGACCTCTGCCACCTCTATTCAACTTTACAGCTCAAGGTGACCTTCAGTTTGGTTTTTCACTTGTACTATCACATGATTTGATGCCTCGATCTGACTATTGTAATTCTCATGCAGAGCTCTCTGGTGCACCTGCTGACCTGCGAAAACGCCTTATTCCAGAACACTTGCGCAAGTGAATTTTGTGAAGACAGTTGCTTAGGCTTTGTAAATGGGTTTTTTTTGAGAGGTTTAGTCGCCTAATCAGTGCACTTTGCTTCAGCAAATGCAGCTGCTATTCTTGGCCCTGGTAATATTTGATGCATTTGAACGCCAACATGGAGCTAGTAACTTGCTAGTTGGTTTTGGAAGGAGGATATGTCAGATACGTCGGTGAATGATCGGAATGTCTCTGTCTATAAACTTATTATGTGTTAAGCATCGAATACTCCCTGCAGTTTTAGATGAGAGTTTTCATCTGTTAATTGATACGTTGTAGCAATATCTAGTTTGTGGGTATTCATAAGATTAATGGGTGCTCCCAAACTGGAGTTATAGATGAATTATTAGGAATTTTTTAATTTTCAAGTAAACCATTTCTTCTCTTCTGGTTGTCAGTGCTAATATATTCACTCCTTCAGTTAATATTTGTACTCTACCAAATGAAGCATTTCCACAAATGAGAAGAAAAAGGAAATGAAATACATGGGCTGTTTAACGAGCATTCCCTAATCATACGTGTTCACAGAATTTATCTATCCACAGATGAACCGCCTGTATTAATACTTAAGTAAATAGTGGATGGATACAGCAAAGTGTCGAATACTAGAGGATAAAACAACTTTTTCTATTACAATGACATATATCGGGTAGCTTTGCTGGTAAAGGTTTAGAAGACATGAGAATTAATTGACTAGTACTTTTTACATCTTTTGAGATTTGAACCCCAGGCTCATGATTATCATGCCATTTCACTTGCTTGGATGGTAGAGGGCAAAATAACTTAGAGGTGTTACTCCGTTTATGAGACTTGAAAATGTTGGCATTAAGGAAATGAGGAACCATTAGTCCATTAAATACGAATCCTTTAAGATTTAGTCGTAGCCACCATTTGGAGAAAATAGATTCGAAGCACTAATTAACAGCAACTACAATCTCTTATGAAAAGTCAGCACCTAAATAGTTTTTAAGTACAGCTTTGTGGTCCTGTGATCACAACAAATTTGAACCAGAGAGATTACATCCCCCATTCAACAAATAAGGACAATTAAGATAGGTCTGTTTACTTATTGACAATTGCATAAGGTCCTTGGCATGTGGTCCGGATGGTTTATGAGCTTGCAACACATACCTATTTGATCTACATAGAGAATACACCACCACAGATATAATCATCACCATCAACAGCGACATTGTGACAATCCAATCAATCCATCAGTAGGCTTTCCTTTTTCTTTCCAATTTTACCTCTTTTTTGTGGTAACCTAATTCTAAATTGCCATGCAACTAGTTGAATCTCCAGGATCAAACAGAAATAGATGTACTTTGAACCTGTAACGCAGTCCCACCAGAATTCCTGGTATTGCTGCCAATGGCTGGTTTCCGCGTCCATCAAGAACATTATCATTTCGCATTTTGTTTCATAAACTCCGTGGGGGATGGTTTCAGGAAATGTGTGTATCTATTTTCCCCCGCTAGTACTCATAATAGGAAAGGCTACAATGACTTCATTGGGAAGGGCTTTGATGTCATGGAGGACCTGGGAATGATGAATATACTATGTTCAGTAACGTGTATTTTTTTATGGTCCATACAACCAAAGGCAGGCAATGAACAAAAGGCTTCATTAGATATTCCACTTACCATATGCTCACAAAAGAGAAACAGGGGACTAGCGGTGGGAAAGCTACAAGTTTCTGCAAGCAAAAAATTGTTATACTTATGCATAAAGGAATAGGAAATTCGTGGACATACTTAAATGAATTATTTATTGGAAATAAAAAAGTATTCATTCAAAATCAGAACATCAATTCATTGTGTCCTAGACATTAAGAGAAAGATAGATTTGAAAGCAAAGATGTCTAGACTTCTGAATATAACCACCGTCCGCTTCACCCAGATGCATCCTTGGAAAGAAAGGGCAAAGGAAAAGTCAGGAATTTCCCATTCAACATGTTGTCTTTCTATATTCTGGCATTGCTGAAGAATCATCAGTTATTAAGAAGCCGTTGGTGCACATCTACCCTTCGCTTCCCAAGCCGCAGGCTCCAATACTTTTTTTGTTTGATCAAATGATATCAGTCAAGAAGATTCTCTTATTTTTTTTTGCTAAAAAATAAAATACATCTTTTAGATCATAAACTTGCAAATATGACCCATTTACTGTTTTTCTTTGGGTCTTCAAAGGAAAATCAATCCATAGGCAATTCAGTGTTACAAATAAGGTGTGTGTTTGCAGAATAACATGTATCACAATATCAGTGACTTTTACAGTAGAATTTATCAAATGATCTCCTAATCAGGTTTAATAATAGACAATAAGAGTATTTCCCCTCAAGACTGCATCACATGCTTCTTTCTGAGAGTAAACAGAAGTCTAGCTGCATAGCTTTTTTCTCCCTTATGATTACAAAAGGCAGCTATCTCAATCTTAAGAAATTTAATGAATCATCTAGTACCCTAGGAAATTCTCAAAAGTTTTCTGATATCCATCCCTTGTCAAAAGGTTTTGACTTTATCAAAAGGCGCTGACATAATCCAAGCAAGGAACTTAGAAATCTTACAAAGATTTCATCAACTTACCACTGCCTGCTGATATTTCTTCCATCAAAACTGTTGTCGATTAATGTCATTTTCATCAAATCTCCCTCCATTAACAGTAAACAGCAAGCAATAACCTGTATAGTTATATGGTTGCTTCACTACAGGACTCTACATTAGGGATAATAAGTAAATTAGAGGAGCCTGCACTGTCAGATGCAGAAGCATTTTTTCACATGGCAACACAACTGAAAGCATCAGCATCATTAGACTGACAGCATTTAGCATATATAAAAAGGAGGAAAATGAGGAAAATCAGGTACTAAGTAACAGGTAAAATAGTAGTTACAGCTACCTAAAGAAAATTCAAACTCAGTTTCTGCTTATGTACCACGAGTATCAAACAGGAAGGTGAAAAAAGATAAGAAAAACACTGAACAAAATGTCTATGTGGCGAAAATTGAAGATTTTGAAAAGGATTAGCCCCCCAAAGAGTGACCTTTTTAACCATCATTTTCATTAAAGAGGAAACAAAACCTAAGTTTTGTCCAGTTATACCAAAGTTTCAACTAGCCAAGGCAACGGAATCAAAGAAAATCCATTAGCTTTACCCAAAGTAAAAACACCTTCACCTTTAGAAATTATATTATACGCCTAGCATGCATCTTTTTTTTTTAAAAAAAAAAGAACTTTCATTCTATACAAATAGCAGTAAACTCCCCAAGACAATGACAAGGCTATGCATTGAACAAATGTCCAATCTTACTCTCAGGGAAACACTAAGATATTCTCAAGCACTAGCATGCACCTATAACACGCTCAGAGTTCTAATCTTAACTGGAAACATCAAGTCAACTCCTTTTCAATCATAGTCTAGGTTTCAGGTACACACTACACTTCATTTAAAAAGCGGAAATCAGCTCCATTGCAAAGGAGTTCAAACAACTAGGTGGACATGGCACTTAAAGGACATAATGGAGCTTCAACAATCATATTCTGTTAGCATATACAAAATTTACTCCTATGCCACAGGTTATTGTAGCTATCCCTATCCCCTATGGCACAGGTGAAAACCAGAGAAATTTTCTTCAGAATCTAGAGGTTTATTTAGAATAGTTACACAAAAATCAGAGATGACCTACCCATGTATATCATGTATTATGTGTGGGTGAATAATTTACCATTACCTCACTGGAAAACCGGCAAGCCAACAGTTCCCATACCCACTGTCAGAATAGTGCAAAACCAAATGCTGTAACCAAACACTAGATATATCTTCTTACCAATAAAAAAAAGGTTGTAAGCAAACACACAGCACTCCATAATTTTTTCAATCAACAAGATCATTCCAGAGTTCTAAAACAGTTTAACACAACCTAAAGTTCCCTGACAGCCCCAGAGTTCTCGAATAGTTTAACACAATCTAAAGTTCCTGACGCCCTACAAGTGCACAGTTTAGGTCCCTATCTAGTTGGAACAAGTGCACGGTTTAGGTTGATAATCTGGTTGGGTAATTTATAGACTGAAAAAGAAGCAGCTCCCTACTTTACCTGCAGATTAGATATCAGAAATTAGGAGAAAATAATAACTCCAAGCAAAATTATTAGTAAGATGGTTTCATACCCGTGTAGGAAAGCTCATCACGTGGTCATGTAGAATGGAGCTTTCTTGAGGACCATCAGACCCTGCTTCATGGAGTTAAAAGTATTTCTCAGAATGAGGAGTAGTTATCTTCCCTGATGCAGGGGAGCGGCAATTGGTGCCTGATGTAGGAGAGTGTTGCGAGAATAGGGACTAGAGAATTGACTCGTGTAAGTATCAGAGAGAAATCAGCTCCAATAATTCCTATCATTTACATTGATCTGCATAAACTTAACCTTTAGTTTCTATTTTCCAATTAATGATCTTCATTCTAGCAATTTATAGATATACAGATGTGAACAGTAAACCTTGTGATGAACTGCACCTCCAATTAATGAAAATTGGATGATCTGATCTTGAAGGGGAGCCTTGGCGAGTAGGCGTAATTGGTAAAATTGCTGCCATGTGACCAGGAGATCACGGGTTTAAGACGTGGAAACAACCTCTTGCAGAAATGCACGGTAAGGCTGCGTACAATAGACCTTTGTGGTCCGGCCCTTCCTACGACCCCACACATGGCGGGAGCTTAGTGAACCGGGCTACCTTTTTCTTGGATGACTGATCTTGCCAAGCCCAAAGGAAACAAGAGCCAAGGAAAGTCAAAAGTACCTTTTCTACCAATAATCCCCACAAGAACATATTCCTTCCTTAAAATGATGAAAACAGTTTGAATCTCGCAAAATAATATGACAACCAAAAACTCCTGACATGAACTTCATCGCATTATGACAGTCACCACATACACGAAGGTTCTTGTAAATCCGAATTGGTACTCCATTTGGCACACAAAGAAGCCCAAAAGCAATAGCCAACTTCTCACTGTGATAAGAAAGACTTCGTTCCCTTCCTTCTTCATTGATATCATGGAGAGAAAAATTCAAGTCTGGCACATATCCAGCTTCCTTAATCAATGTAATAACATCATCAAGTTTTGAGTAAATTTCATCACTCTTTGGATGGCTTCTTCCCTCAGATATAAATGTGTGGACAACTCCATTCATCTCAATCCAACTATAACCAGGCTCTTTATTAACACCCTTCAACTTCATTTTTCTTCTCAGTTTTGCTGCATCTTTCCATTTTCCTGCAGCTGAATAGATATTTGACAACATAACGTAAGGGGCAGCATCTTGTGGTTCTAACTGAAAGAGGGCAATTGATGCTTTCTCTGCTAGATCTGTGCTCCCATGTACTCTACATGCAGCAAGCAACGCTTTCCACACAGTAGCATCAGGTGCAATATCCATTTCATTGACTAATTTCTCAGCCTCCTGTATTTTCCCAGCACGACCCAAAAGATCGATCATACATGCATAGTGGTCAGCGCTTGGTCTTATCCCATAATCTTTCTTCATTGAATCGAAGTACTTCTTTCCATGCTCAACAAGACCTGTATGGCTGCAGGCAAATAATAAGCCAATAAATGTAATAAAGTCGGGTTCTATTCCACTTGCAATCATCTCGTCATAAAATCTCAGAGACTCCTTTCCTTTGCCATTCTGGGCATAAGCCACTATAAGAGCAGTCCAACTGATCACATTACGCATTTGCATTAAGTTGAATATTCTTTTGGCGTCTTCAAGGTACCCACAATTGGCATACATTGTCAAAAGAGAATTATCAACTGATAATGATGCATCAAGGCCAGATTTAATAAAATCCGCATGAACTTGTTGTCCAAGTTCAAGTAGTGCTAATTCTGAGCAAGAACTTAAAACACTAGCAATGATAATTTGGTCTGGTTCAATTTTAGCCATTCTCATCTCACAAAAAAATTTAAGAGCTTCTTCATAAGAGCCATTGTGAGCACAGCCAGTGACGAGTGATGTCCATGAGATTACATCCTTTTCCACCATGTTATTGAAGACACTCACTGCACAAGCTAGTTCTCCCTGTTTAGCATACATATCAATAAGTGCATTGCTTACAAGCTTGTAGCTTTCATATCCAGTTTTAACAACCATGCAATGAAGACATTTCCCATTTTTGACATACTGTATACAAGCAAGAGAATTCAGAACTGAAGGGTAAGTAAACTCATCCACTTCCATATCACTAGCATGCATCCTTTTGAACAAAGACAGTGCTTCCTCTGGAACTCCATGCCTCACACACCCAAGTATCATCGAATTCCAAGAAACTGCATGATCCACCTCCATCAATTCCAATGCCTTCTTAGCACTGTGCAAATCCCCACATTTAGAATACATGTCGATTAACGAGCTTTGAACAAACACATTGGCCTCAAAACCACCCTTGACAATGCAACTATGCACTTGTACCCCAAATCTATTATCATAGAGTGCAGCACAGGAAGTTAAAACACCGGGAAATGTATACTGGTTCGCCTCAATCCCTTCTGAATGCATGTTGCTAAAACACTGAATTGCTCTTAATGCATCACCATTTTGAGAATATCCATTAATCATAGCAGTCCAAGTAACATGATTTTTCCCATGAGACATAATTTGAAAAATACACTCAGCTTCCAAGATGCGCTTAGACTTTGCATACATATCAATAAGGCCAGTCATAACAAAAACATTCACATCAAAACAAGTCTTAATAGCATAGCCATGTATCTGTTCACCTCTTGAAAGCAAACCTTTTATTGCGCACATTCTCAGAATACTTCCCAATGTGAACTGACTGGGTATATGCCCCTCACTTTGCATTTGCCAAAACAATTCAAATCCTTCAATTTCAAAACCATGCTTACAGTATCCACAAATAAGAGAAGACCAAGTAATTGAACTCTTGATTGGGACCTCCTCGAACACTTGTCTTGCTTCAACAAGCCTCCCTACATTGGCATACGCCGCAATCATTGTATTCCATGTAAACTCGTCTTTCTCAGGCATATTATCAAACATCTTTCGAGCTGCATCAGTTTGACCCAGTTTTGACAACTCACTCAAGTTTTTATTTTTATCAACTAAGGAACATTTATGGCCTCGTGTAATCGAACTTGCAAAGGTTTGAATCGTGCGACGAAGTTGCAGAGACATAAATTGACGCAAATAAACCTTTGACCAGAGGTTGAAATGCTGAAAATTTTGCTTCTTAGCATAAAATTTTCATTAGAAAAATAAAATGCAGGATTAAAGACACTTAATTGTTTATAGTATGATTTTTAGAATTGTAATTTTTGGAGTTGCAACATCTAAACTAAAACTTGTGTTATCTTGGTGCAATCAATTTGCTCTCTCCTAACAAAGTCATGGGTATTACCGCATGAATAGAAAAAGAGGAATATTGCAATTTTTTCTTGTGTGTGATAAAAGAATAGGGAACTACTTTACTAATCATAGAGTTTAATGAGTGCTATTGTAACGGATGGTTTGTGCACATTGACATTATATTCTGAGTGCAATTATACGAAGGAATTAATTTTTTTTCTTTTGAATGTTGGTTGGCTGTAAGGTGGCTTTCCCTTTCCCAGTGGGTATTTTTATTCTTTTTTCACATATGATCGTCCAATTTTACAAAAAATTACGTATAAAATTATTTTTTAAAACGATACAATAATACGATCTTATGTTTATATTACTAAAAATGTTAATCTGGAGTCATAAACACAAATAGGTGGCAACAATATCCACGAGACACCACTTTAAAAAATAAAATAATAATTCTAACCCACTTAAAATTTTAAAAATATGATGTGCTACGTGGTGAAAGACAATGTGCAGTAAGTTGGTTTGGAAAATGTTTTTTTTTTTGTTTTGTTTTTGCTCTTCTTAGTGTTGCCATGTGAATATTATACATGTTCCGGCCTGCAGGGGCGGACCCACATTAATTCAAACGGGTTCAGTTGAATCGGTTTCGTAAAAAAATTCATTATATTAAGTTGAACAATACAATATCGGATAAGTATATTAAGTTAAACTCGCTTGACAGAAATAATAGTTGGTCGAGTTGGTTCAAGCGGGTTCAGCAAGTAGGTGAGGTCTGGAGTTTGAATCTAGACTTTTACGGTTCAATGCTTTCTTGCTCTTTATTTTGCCAAAAGCATGTTATAATTCATTTGAACTATTCTGCTTACCTCCTCATTGTAGCCCCTCACTGTTTTTTTCTTAATTATTGTTTAATTTAGCTAATTTTTATAGTTTCGAATTCTGATACTATTAAAATTATAACTTTATTTCAGTTTATATTTTAATTCTATTGTTATTATTTTTTCATAAATTATTTATTATAATGAATATTTCAGCGCTTGTTAATCTGTTAGATTTAATCAATAAATAGAGTTGGTTGTTTTGGTATAGATTGAATTGATTTTGTAACGTAAAATTCAAAAAAAATGTCCAATAAATTGTCAAATTTGAAAAAGGAAATAGATATGTTGTTCACTTTTATTATTTTCATTTTTTTTAAGAGCTCAATAGAACAAAAAGGTCATGAAGCAAAATAAAGAGAAGAGGGAAAGACTCTATTGTTATGCCTTTGTTGTTTTTACTGTCAAATAATGTCGATGACTTTACTTTCTGCCTGAACCCGCTTGCACAAATTTTTTGGTCCGCCACTGCCTACAAGGACACATTTTAGCATTCTCTAACGTTTTCTATTTTATGATGTATATGAATAATTAATTAACTTATTTTTTCACAATCATTCTTTATTGTTTTATATATATGAATAATTGAAACGCACAGTGCAATATATGCTTTGGGCTTTAAGCTCCATATATTTTGTTTACTTTTTTTTTTTTTTTTTTGGTCTTTGACGACTCTGATATGATCATACGATTATATTTACATTATAAAGAAACACATGATGTAAAAAAGAAGTCAACATCCAAATAATAGCAAACACCATGATTGTAAAGAATCTAAATTCTAATTCACATGCACGTATGTATAGGTGTTAGAGCAAACGCAAACAACGATCAGACAAACCAACGGAAAAACCAAAAATGCAATACAGCAAATCTTGTGAAATGAAGGAGTAAACAAAAAATGAAAAACAAGAAACTTCGTCGAAATACATAACACGTCCTCCGTTGTTTTCCAATTATTATGGACCTCCTCTGTCCCATTATAAAATCGAAATTCGAAAGATAGTATGTAACGAAGGGGAATTGTATTGATAGGGAGAATTGAAATCGTGTACATTAATATAAGAATTCATCTTCAAACGATTACAATTACTCCAAATTAGTAACCAAATTTTTCAAGGGAAGAAGAAACAGAAAAGGAAGAAGGGAGGGAGGTTCCAGAGTTAATCTAATCAACTAAGAAAATAAAGAGACGACTTCATAGCATGAGCCCTAATAGATTATGTTTCTCTTCTATATATAGGCATCTTTCCGGGGTCCCAAAGGTAATTTTCCAGCTCTCCAAATGTGTCTTCCACCGTAGCCACATTTGTTACATAGTAGTAGCAAAATGTTTGAATTGATAATGATATTCGATAATGATGTAAGATATATAAAAAATATAATAGATCTGATTGAAAAGATAACGACTCAAACTGGAAATTCACGATATAACACTATTACTTTGGCCATCATAGAGCTTTGCTGGTGTATACTATACTAGAGTAAAGAATTGCTAGGCGATTTATTGATTAAAAAGAAACTAATGGATTACTCATCTTACTCTACACTCCGTAAAAGGGACTATAGTGTTTGATTAAACACATCATTTAAATGCATTTTACTATATTTGTATTATACGGAAAGTAAAAATAAACTATATCAAATATTGTTTAATATTCAAGTTACATATTAGTTTGTTAAAGAAGCATTAACACCAAAATTAAAATTTTACATGAATGATTGGGAAAAGTTTATAGCAAATGTTTGTGGTAAATGACTTGAAACTGATAAGAGCAAAACTCCATTTTGTCACAACTCAGACAATAAAGACAGAGCGGTCTAATAGTATTTGTTTTCGAGTTTTAATATTTTCATTTAAATTAACGTATATTCTTTTCCTAGATTTCCCAAAATATTTGAGTTATTCCATTAACAATGCTATAAACATTATATACACTTCAAATAAATTTATGTAATTATCTTATTTTTAAAACTTTTAAGGCAGTGTTTGTTTTACTAAATTAACTTTTGCATGCATCATACTTTTAAAATTGTTTTACTACTATTACTAAAAGACAAATTAATTATAAGGAATCGTTTGATTTATTATATGGTATAATACGAATAGAAAATAAACTAAATGCTGTTTGGTTGGTGTACATGAATAACCACCGCATAACAAATTTTTATTAAAGATCGCATAAAAAAAGTATTATAATTTCCAATAAAATGATTCGTAAATCCTAGTTAAATACAATTATACAAATCGTATCGAAACAAAGAGGGTAGCTTCAAATGTGAAACTTTCTAGCGCAACTCTAAATTAATTAATGGTCTTACTCTCTCTCTCTCTCTCTCTCTCTCTCTCTCTCTCTCTCTCTATATATATATATATATATAGTACTTTTTTTCTTAATTCCGTTTTGATCGGAGGTGACTAGAACCCACAACTCTAGAGTTATAGGTGAGGGTGCTGACCATCTGAGCAACCTCTCTTCTAGACTAGATGACGTACTCGTGCGATGCACGAGCCCAATTGTTGCTCTTTTTTGGAAAATGATATTGTACATTTTCAAAATAATAACAGGAAAAATATATATTCTTTGTACATTTTTTTGTATATATATAAATTTCGTATTATATACAAAAATTATATAAATCTTATGCGCTTTTCTGGCTATCGAATGTAATTCTGACGGGGGCTAAAACTGAAAAAAGCCCCTCATTTTTCTTGTTTTCCTCCTTTTAATATTTCTTGATCTATTGCTAATTATACACTTTTATTAGTCTTCAAGGAAAGAACAAAGAAGATTGGCATGTTTACCTGTAATGTTTATTATCTTTTGCGTTATGTGCATTTTTAATTTTTCTGAAATCGTATTACTATACCAGTCACTTTCTAATACTTGTCGAAATCTGACACTTTATTATAACAAAGATTATACACAACTTCAAGTACAAGTTAGAATATTTCTACATAGGTTCTACACTTTTTTATTTTAAAAAATAATTCCGCACCACAAAACTTAAAAATGATTATAAAATAATGATTAAAAAGTCAATTGAAAAATAAATTGTGGTGTACTTTCTCATTGTTTAAATTGAATAATATATAGTTGTACTCTTTTAGTATTTTCAATTGTGTTAATGTATTGCTTTTCATGTATTTCTTTTCCTTTTATATTAATCAAAATTTGAATAATAAAATATATTCATTTTATTTTCAAATAGTTGATGCAAAAATTTTTTTCTTTGAAATAATAATCGTGATTTTGAATTATTGAAAAAGTAATAATAAGTAAATGTGTATTTTATTCTAGTTTAAAGACATATCTGAGTAATTCATTAAAAATAAATAAATATTTCGATCACATATTTTTTTCTAGTTTCATTTGATGTGATTGAGATACTCTAGGGTGTTGTGCCACTTTCTTTACTATAATTATTTATTGGGCATTTTTTAAAAATAATTGATTTTATATTTATGTATTTTAAAATTTATATAATATTAAATTATTTATCAAACATAGAGGAAGTAACCAACTAACTTTGATCATAGAGGGAGAAGTATAATCCTGCATAATGATACTTCTCATGCTGCCTAATATATAATAAAGAAAAAAATTCCCCAAATTAGTTGTCTTTTAATTTTTTGTTTAGATTATTCTCAAATAACGTTTATCGAGGGAATTATTTTTATATAATTTGAACAAATGTCAATATCCTTTTAAAAAAAGGGACTTCAAACTATATTTTATTCTTAAATATTTTTTCCCTGATTTTATAAAATGTTCCAATTGAAATTGCAATTTAATGAGAATTTGTATAAATTGATATCAATTTGATATTAATATAAGAACATCTTGATAAAACTTCATCAATTACTGCCACTTTTTTTTAATATTCTTTACCGGAAAAAATCAGTAAATAAAACAAATGAAATAATTTTTCTTACAGAGACAATAGAATTATAAATATATGTTACGATAGTATGTTTTTATTCAAATGAACATTTCAATTGGAATTTCAGGATCATTTGTTTGCTAAATGTGAATGGATAACAGCAGTAAGGCAAGAGTTGAATATATGGATAGGGCAAGAAGTACAGAGGAGTTAAGCAAATGTTGGAGCAGATTAAAAGGAAGCATTGGAAACAGTTCAAAAAAGAAGTGATAGCTGCAGTGCACTTAGCGATGATATACTATACATGGAGAGCAAGAAATTCAAAAAAAATTCGAGAAAGATATGTAAATACTGAAGAGGCAGTTATACAAATTAAGAAAGAAGTGATAGAAAGGATAGAATTACTTCAACAGTCAAAGAAAGCGCATA